CTACTGCAATCTATGAACACCCGCTACCAATTTTAAACAGAGAAAGCTACGGATCATATTAAAAGACTGAGCTGAACCTTACTAATGACATGAAACTTCGTAGGAGTATCCTACATGTACAACGGCATGTTTAAGTAAGGCAAGCGGTCTACTTTTATACAGAACTGAGTAACAATGAAAAAAACAATGTTTTTTTTTTTTTCAATTATTGACTTCATTTTTGAAAAAGGTTTTATATTTAAGAGACTTCGATAAATAGTTTTGTTACACTGTCATAACAAATTTTATGTTTTGTAAATGTAATAAAATGTACTCTAATTATAAAATAAGGCGCAAGTTAATTCAAAACTATTTAAAATGGTAACTAACTGCAGTAGATCTGGGGCTAAGCGCTCGCTGTAAATTTCACAGTAGGTATGCGAACCCCAGTTAGATCCCCGACGGCACCGATTGTTGATTGCAATTTTAAGTGCTGATTTATAACTGAAGCAGTAGGAAAACATCGTGAGGAAACCTGTATGTCTGAGAGATTAAAATATTTTGCAAACAAGTGAAGCCCGCTAACGCGAATTGAAGCAGCGCGGTGAACACTTCCTTGCCCTAAAACCTTCTCAAAAATGTGACGATTCCAGTGGCCAAGAATGGAGATGTAGTACTGTAAAAGGCCATAGCAGGCAACTATGATCACTACTAAAAAAATTGCCAAAATTTTACGCCTGCTCATGGAAACAAATTGAAACTTAAACGTAGTCTACAAACAGGGCATTGAAAGATTGCCTCTTTTCCGTTATACTCGTAGTAGCCTTATCCGAACGAGTCCGAACGTTCTGGATCGTGGCGATAGAATGTAGTTTGACAGCACACTTGGCGCAGTGGTATTTCTGTGCGGTACCAGAGACCGGTTCCCCAATCGATTCCTGGCAAAGCTCGGTCGCTTTAAGTCCTGATCAGATTTGAGATATTCATATGTCATAACGACAAGGTTAATTACTGGGGTATTTCGAATGTTAATGGAATATACGATAGTTAAACCGAAGGAAAAATTGATTTTAAATTTTAACTCATAAGTGCTTCGTAATCAAAACAAATGTATACTTCTAATTAATTTATTTATGAAGGTTTAAAATACATATTGCAAATGGATCTGCTACCAATGGATTTCTGCAAGCAAAATGCGACGTCACCCCTGAGGACACAGATGTAACCCTGTATATGTTATGAATTTGTTTATTATGAAGAGTTCTACCAACATTAATACCGATTACCACCATTTTCTTTTGTTGTAATAACTTGGGCTTTAAGTTATTTCAATATGCTAAGATTGAATAAGTTTCATTCAATGTTTTTCAAATAAACATAAATACATTACAATACAGTTATTGCGTAGGCTGCACAATATTTTATATGCATGAATTTGTTGTCAGAATTTAGTGTCATTGCAACATACAGTAAAACATTTTTAACAAGCCCACGCTAAAACAAGGGTTGCAAGAATTAAAAATATTTTAACTGTGTAAATATACTTGCTGACAGATGCATTTTTATAAATGGGTGCTAATCGAGCACACAGCTCACTTGACGAAAAGTGGATGCTGTAGCACATAGACTTGGTACTTCGACTATTAAGATCGTTCATATTTTAAGCATGCATTTAAATCTAATCTATTACTAGATAAATGTATACGGGGAATTATTTTACAATATATCATGAAAATTTATTTGTAAATATATAAATGAATGATGACGATTAAATGAGATAATGAATTTTTTTAGTTTTATTATTTCATTATCTACTTTAATCTGATGGCGGTGTGGAAGCGTATTCCAACTAGCTCCGTGGGTATCGAAAGAGACTACTGTGGGAAGTGCCGGAAAGATCCCATGGCTCCCGAGAGATGAATATACTATAACCGTTACGTTTACGCCAGACATAAAATACTCGGATCGGTAATGGGGAGCAGCGCAAGAAGTGCGAAACGTCTGTTACAGGGGTCACCAACACGTCGGCCAAGGGTTGCGATTATGGAAAATCCTGCCAACAACGTAAGAGGTCAATGAACATCAATGGAGATTTATAGAAATAACTAAGTTAAACATACAAAAATTCAGACCCACACATTGTGTTTTCTATACGCAAATAAATTTACAAATATATTTTGAGGGTTCTTTATTCAATACTCGATTTGTTTTCTAAAAGTAAAAGATTATATTGGATAATACGTTATACAGATTATCAGTCGGAAGTTATAAGTATTTCTAAAATACTTTCCTGCAGATGCTTAGATCACGTACTTTGGAAATGCGCATTATATTACTTTTATTTGGTTTTTAAAATTTACGGGTTAAAAATCCAATACCTAATTTCACGTTTACACGATAAATTCTTTTTACGTCAAGATAATACAGATGTTGATGTATTATCTTGTGGTGCTGATCACGCTTCATAAATATGCTAGTTAGCTATATCATATTTGTCTTCTTGGAAAATGGCTCTAACGATTTGGATGAAATTTTATAATAGATAATGTACTACTCCCCAAATTTATCTAGATAGGTGTCATCCCTGGTATAACATTTATAGATATCACCTGGTCGTCCAGGTGATATCTATAAATATAATCTAAATACGTAGTGAAATCGGCGCCAATGTGGACATAGCCAACCTGAAAATAGCTCTCAGTTTTAAACACGACTGGAGATACGAACGTTGCGATAAGTACAGTTTTAGATCAGGGCATTGAGAGCTCGTCTACAATTTAATTTGATTTTCAATCTTTCTAATTAATCTACCTAAATCGTCTCCTCGGTTTTCTAAAGACATTATTTACATTGACCTATAAACTAGGATCTATTCTCCAGCTATCTATTACAGCATCAATTATAGCCTGTCAAAAGTTCTCCCTTATAGACTGTTTCAGAAGGTTTTAGTTAAAATGCTTGGCGCAGTTTTTCGAGTTGTTATTAGGAAGATCCTGCTTCACTTCTCCTGGTCTTATTTAACTGTGTCGAATCTTAAGATACCTATGTGATGATATAGGATTGTGGATTTTCTTATTTATATATAGATTTTGTTTTATTTTCATGTGTCTGTCTTAGGAATAACCAGAAAGAAACCCTTCAGGCCTTTTTCTTAAAGTAACAATTTACTATTAATAATTTGTACTCTATTTAATTTTTTTAAAGTATAAGCACGACAAACGAGCACATCCAACCTATCGTCATCAATTAAGAACCAAAACGGAGATGCGCTATCACTCCTATTGAATTATATGAAATGCTTTGCTATCAATCAGTAAAGGATGTAATTATTAACAATGCTATACTTGTTTTATACAAAATGACATGTGTTTTAATTAATGAAGAGGCGCAGTTCCCCAGAATAAAGCGCTCGCCTAATACGAGAGAGAACAAACAGATTTCAATTTTTGATACACACTAATAAAATTGTTTACATCTATTTTAAGTACGGATTTACCATGTGATTGCTAGATGTGTCTTTACTGTCTTGAGTCACTTAACATCAGGTGAGCCGCATGCTCGTTTGCCCCCTCTTCTATTAAAAAGCAGTTGACCACTATCCGACCTGATGATAAGTGGAAAAGCGCACTAATATTAGGATTACTTTTTTGCTTTGTGGTCCGTCTTGGTATGTTACCAACATCTTATCTATTTCTATCAACAAATAGCTGTTCGAGCACTGCCGTTTTTTTATTTTATTTTATAGAATAAGGGTGTCAAACGAGCACAGTCCACCTGATGTTTAGTAGATACTGTGACCTATAGATATCAACATTTATCTACTAACTACGGACTAAGATAGAATGCCTCGTTTCCAGTAAAAAACGGTTTCCGGATCTCTACAGTTACCATACGAAACACAGCAGTATTAAGCTGCTATTTCGGACACAAGAGTATAGCGCCTTGTATATTTACAGGCTGTGCGTCTATTCTGTTCTATTCAATAGGCATCAGATGTGACAACTCATCTGTAGCCTTCTTTGTTTGAAGTTGGTAGCAGATTTCTATAGGTTGCAGTAGACTCTTGCCGTCAGGTGAACTTTATCAAGTTCTTTGGTCACTTCAGTTACATATAAAAAACATGCGTTCGATGTTAAAGCAAAACATCGCTATTATCATTATGTTTGAGAAGTAACCCAAACATTTTCAGAAAAAGTTAGGTGCTACCTATGCGCATCGGTAGAGTACAGTGAAGTTATCCCAAAACCATATCAGAAATTAGTGAAGGCTGTGACAAATAGTGGAAGAAACTTAGGTTGTTACTTTTACTGATGACAAATTTGTTAAACAAAACTTTATGTAACATCAATAGTATAATATTTTAATGCAGTTTTCCTATTTCTTTAAATAATATTAGGTCACAAAAAATAATCTTTAAGCATTAACCTTTGACTATATATAAAATATACTACCACCATAGATAATAAAGTGGGGGGGGGGGGGGGGGGGGGGGGTACTTCACTTATTAGTTAGGAATAATAATAATAATAATAAATAGGAATAATCGTTCGATACGCATAACCAAGAGTGCTGTTACCAATTTATAGCGACAGTAGCCTAATGACAGGGCGCGGACTGCGAACTCAAAAGTTCGTGGGTTCGAATCCGCCATTCGACTACTGGCGTGAACCACTCGTAACACCAGCAATTTAAGCTTACCACAAGTGGTTAAGGGGAATATTAGTAATGTTTAGAGAATTGTTAATATTCTTTTAAAAAAATTGAAGAACGATCCTATGAAAATAACTAATTTACCTGGGATCATCAGGATGCATTAGACATTGAACAAAATATATAAAATTAATTGCAGTTTGAAATATGTATGCTATGCTGTCCTTTATGTTCATGTAAAAATGCAAAAAACAAATTAATATTTAGTCTCGATATGTGAAAACTTAAATGGCGTATAGCAGTAATATTTTAAAGTAAGTAAGTAGCCAAGTAATGTATCACTGTTTTTCAAATAAATGTACTAAAACTACCTTAGCTGGCGTAGACTCGGCTGCCGAACGTAGCTTGGCTCGGCCTGCTCCTCCGGCCTGTCTGATGGCTGCCATCAGGTTTGCGTGAGCATCTCCGGCGGCTGGTGGGAGCGGCTGCTTCACTTTGTCGTCCCTACTGACAATAAAAATAAGCTTTAGTTAGTTCTTACTAGAGGCATTTGAGCCGTAAACATAGTAATAAACAATAGAGTAGAAGAATTAACTTATATAATTATATTGGTTATATCGTAACCTTAGTCGGCTTTTACTTTTTAATAAAAAGTTAAATGATTGAGGCAACTTCCTCAAACATGAAAGATGTTCGTCTGAAGAAAAAACAGATCGCAAAAGTGAGTGGAGTAACATCTAAGGACGTTTTAAATATTCTTTATCTTGGCATGTTTAAGTTCAGTACAAGAGGGGTGCTAAGCATAAGCAAGCCCACACGGCTTCAAAAACAGCAGCGGTCGAGTGTTTGCGCGAGTTTTTGAACCTATGCTGTGCAGTGAGAATAGGAACAAAATTATGAACCAAATTGTCACTGGGGATGAAACTTGGGTTCATCACTATGAACCTGAGTAAAAGCAAGAGTATGCAGTGGCATAAACAGGCGCAGCACCGCCTAAGAAGTTCAAGGTGTCACAATCAACTGGATATACCATGACTTCAGTTTTTTGGGATTCAGAGGGGATTTTGAGACGATTACAGGAAGTCAATAATTAAAGGTCACAGGACAGTATTATACTACGCTGTTAGAAAAATTAAAAGATGCTATTAAAGAAAAAAGAAGGGGCAAGTGGTACATAGGGGATGAAATGGGGTTATTGATTCTTTTACACTGCCAATACTCGGAAAACTAATTTAACTAATATAAAATACATAATTATTAGTTTTTAACTTATTATATGTATTAGCGATATTGTGTAGATAGTGACAGGAAATATATTATTAATATTAAATTTAATTAAGTAAGCTAAAATGCTTCACGAAAGTAAAAACGGTAAGAAATGGAATTCAAAATCATTTTATAAGAACACTCGACCCGCCCCCTAGAGTAAATTACCGATGAATGGGAAAAATATAACACAAGTACTGGTTTATGTTTTTATTATTTTTATCCTCTCTAAGTATATTCTCAATCTCCTTATTGACACAGTCTAGTTATTATGCAAAAACGACAACTCCTGACTACAGTAGAAAAGGATAATATATGATCATAAATTATATGAATTTAAGATTAGACGAGTCACCTTTACAGAGAATAAAGTTCAAGACAGACCAGAAAAAAGGAACGTCTGTCATATAACATTAATTCAGTTCACTATATTAACATTAATGAGTAGCTGATAAATAATTAATTAGCCGCAAATAAGCTATTTATAAGCACATCACTAGTACATGTCAGTCATTCATACCAAAAGGCAGTTTGAAAGCCAACTTATCAAACTTTAGACACAATTAATAAACCTAATAGGCTCGTAGTGCCAGGAATAGACTACTCTTTTATAATAGAACCGTGTAAATGTGTATGTGAGCAAGACATTTGTAGATGTTTTTGCACCTTTAAGGCGACGGTGTCAAGGGAAACATTTAAAATACAAAGTATAGACTTGACATTAAGATACACGTATTACGTTATCAATAATTATGCGCAGTTATATTTTTCTATTTAACAATAATTTTATAACACATATAAACATAAACACTCACGCCTGTCACCCAAAGGGGTAGGCAGACTACGGACTTACATTTGGCACTATCCTGACATACCTCTTTCGCCTCCTTTACATCCATATATCTACGCATACACGCTCGTCGGTTAAGGGTACTTCTAATGTGGCCCATTTTCAAAATATCGCCAATTTGGTCTACAAACTTTCTTCTAGGGCGTCCCTTCCCGACTCTGCCGTTCACATCTGCCATATAAATTTGCTTTGTCACTCTTTCCTCATTCATTCTTTCTACACGACCAAACCACCAAAGCATTCCCTTCTTAATCCTGGTCACAACATCATCTTGCATACCACATTTATCTCTTATCACGCAATTTCTCACCCTGTCATTCAGATTCACGCCTAGCATACTCCTTAAAGACCGCATTTATACAGCATTTATTCTACTTTCGTGCTTCTTCTGCCACATCCAACTTTCACTACCATACATTAAAGTAGGGACTAACACAGCATTATGAATTACCATACGTGCCTTTTTTTGACAGATTCTGATTCTTCACAATAGAGTGTAGTGCCCCTTTCACTCTATTCCCTGCATTTACTCGTCGTTCTATATCCCTATCATATCTCCCATCCCTGCTAAATACACATCCCAAATACACAAACTCATCCACTTGCTCAATTAACTCTCCTTCTATTCTTATTTCACATACCGTTTTGCTTCCTTCTCTTTCAAAAACCATCACTTTCGTCTTACTTGCGTTCACTTTCATTCCCCTTTCTTTTAATGCCCAGTTCATTAATGTAACCATCATTTGCAACTCAGCCGCCGACGACGCAAATATGACTTGATCATCGGCGTACAAAAGGCATTTGACGGTTAACTCGCCCATTCTTAACCCACATTCTTCATCTTTCAAAGTTTGCAAACACCTGTCCATAAATAGGTTGAATAGCCAAGGTGAAGCTACACAGCCCGGTCTGACACCTTTTTGGATGACAAACCAGTCAGTCAGAGTAGACCCCGTTGATCCTGACACAAGCACTAGAGTCCCATAAAGAGACCTTAATGCCTGTATCAAACCAGCGCTCAACCCATATGAGTTCAGTGTTTGCCATAACACAGTCCTGTCCACTCTGTCCAAGTACATTAACGCACAAAAAACTTTCTGGTTCTTGGCCAAAAACTTCTCCGCAATCATGCGCATGGAAATGACTTGATCTGTACACCCCATTCCCTTTCTAAATCCCGCTTGCACATCCTATATTTTTCCATCAGTTTTTTTCATAACTCTTTCAATAAACACCTTAGCATACAGTTTACCCACAAAACTAAGCAAGCTGATACCACGGTAGTTTTTGCTGTCCCTCTGTGACCCTTTTCATTTATATATTGGTACTGTAACTGCTTTACACCAGTCATCCGGTACCCGTTTTAATTCCCAACATAAATTAAACAAGATGTAAAGAAGGCCGAATGGAAGCCTTACCTGCTTTCATGCTTTTCATTGCTTTCATTATTTCATCTACACTTATCTCCATACCCCTTATCAATACACTTTTATTACCTTTCAAATACAATAATTTTAGTAAGCGAAGCAAATAAGTCACTTCGTATTATTTATAGAATAAGGATAACAAACGCGCACATAGTCCACCTGACGTCCATCTATCCTCGAATCCTTTAGAATCAATATTCAAATGCGTTCACCCTTGAGGAGGTGGAATGCCTCATCTCTAGTAAAAAGGTTCTCTGGTTCTCGAAACTCACCATACGAACACAGCAGCATAATGCTGCTATTTTAAGCTGGTATTCTGTGAGAGCGTGGTCCTACCTACGCAGTAAAAAGAAAACACTTTCCCGCCATTTTTAGATTGTTTTTGTGTCCGCCAAAATGAGTGAATCTAAGAAAGAAATTGGAAACATTCTTAAGTTTTTTTTACCAAAAAGGGAAAAATGAGACTCAGGCCGCGACGTTATGGACCTAACGCAGTGTCAGTAAGAGTAGCTCAAAGTTGGTTCAAGCGTTTTAAATCCGGGAATTTTGATGTAAAAGATGCAGCTCGCTCTGGTGGCCCTCATACGGATAGTCAATGTAATTTTTTTTAAATGGAGCAACATCGGCATATTAGTAGTTACGACACAGCCGACGAATAGAGGATTGACCACAAAACTGTTTTAATCCATTTGAGAAAGTCTGGCAACACAAAAAAGCTCGATATGTGGGTACCACGCGAGCTCACTGAAAGAAACCTAATGAATCGTGTCCTCATTTGCGATTCTCTATGGAAACGTGATAAAACCGAACCATTTTTAAAAAGATTGATCACTGGTGATGAAAAGTGTCTGATCACCTACGAAAAGAACGTGCGAAAAAGATCATGGCCAAAGGCTAGTCAAGCTCCACAGACTGCAGCGAAACCAGCATTTACATAGAATAACGTTATGCTGTTTGTATGGCAGGATTGAAAGAGATTCGTTTATTATGAGCTTTTACCGCCGGGCAAAACCATCGATTCGGATCTCTATTGCCAACAACTAATGAGACTCAAGCAAGAAATTGAGAAAAAACGGTCGGAACTGATCAGCACAAAAGGAGTGGTCTTTCATGAAACGCCAGCATCAACAACACACATCTTTAGGCACCAAGCAGAAATTGAAACAGCTTGGTGTGTTAATGCATCCTTCATATAGTCCTTACCTTAGGTTAATATCAATAGAAGACTGTCGAAACTACTTGTCGCATTTTTGATCAAAAGTCCCAAGACTTTTACAGTATCGGGAATATGTCACTACCTACAAGATGGCAACAAGTTATAAAACAAAATGACACATATATAATTAAATGTAATTTAACTTTGAAAAAAATAAGTCTTGAATTGGTGTATAAAATTCGAAGAAACTTTTTCTTCGACCTTATACTCGTAGTTACAATGAAATGGAACCATTAAATCTACCGCTTAATGCATTTCTATAAAATACAATCAGTCGTAAATCATAAATAACAAATTATAATAATTGTGGTCCTGTCGGGTAATTATAACTTTATAAGAATTGAAAACTTACAAACAAGGATTTGTATGCTATTTATTTTTTGTGCCGATCGGTTGACTTAGCCAAGGTTAGGTCTGCCATTGTTTGGTATTTAATTTGAAAATACATATATTTTTATATATCTTATAGAGAAGATATATAAAAAATATGTATTTTAAAATATGTATTGTTTAGAGCAGTGGACATATATGGGCCAATGATAGATCATTGGCCCGTATATGTCCACTGCTGGGCATGGGCCCTCTGTGAGAGGAATTACCTTAATCGTCACGCTTGGAAGGCGCATTGATTAGAAATCTGGTACCTTTTATACGTGGTTATTTTATTTTTATACGTGGTAGAGCCATGCTGCAGTTATATTAGTGTATAGTTGTAGCACGAATGGGTCGGCTCGACCGTGAAAGTACC